TTTCTGTTTCCTTTTCTTGTCATATTCCAATGGCTAGGACCACTGGTGAAAGCAAGTCATCTTTGCCTTTTCCCAGTATTAGTGGGAAAAACACTAGTCTGTTCTTATTATATTAACTGAAAAACACTAGTCTGTCCTTATTAATTATAAATGCTGTTTATCAGACCAGTGAAGTCTCTTATGACTGCCACTTTGCCTAGAGTTCTATCATGAATGTGTGAACTTCCCTAAATACTATTCTTCATTGATGAAAATAATCATGAAATCTTTCTCCCTTAATGTGTGTATGTGGTGTATCATACTGATTGATTTTCTAATGAAAAACCAACTTACATGCCTAGGATACTCCCCAGTTTCCACGATTCTGCCACAACTTCAATAAGTATAGGTTGATTGCTAAGGCTCATATAATACAAGGCAAACTAATAAGGAAAAAGGATACAAATTTATTTAAGTTTTACATAACATAAGCACCTTCATAAGGAAATGACACCCTGAAGAAATGCATAAAGCTTTATAACTTTTTGCTAGGTAGAATGAACAAGTAGATAGCAGTGAAGATATACAATTAGACAAAGACAGTATGAGCTAATAGTAGTAAGTGGGAAGAACTGAGCAAAGCCTATTTATCCAGATTTTTCCCTCTGTCCCTGTATCTTCAGAAATAAGGGCATTACTTTCCTCTGTTTATAGGGAGGGAACCTCTAAAATGAAGGTATTATAGGGAAAGGCCAGAAAAAATCCTTGCTATGTTTTATGACCTGTTTCAGAGAAGGGTAAGCAGGACATTCCTGTTTCTGCTATTTTTCAAATGCCAAAGTACCATACTTGGAGGTAGTGAGTCTTAAATTCCATCGTAAGTATACACCTTAATAATAAGCAGTTGAAAACAAAAATGTCATTTTTAAAACAAAATCAAAGAACAGGAAGGCAAGACAGGTCCTGTCTGGGGGTTTGGTACCACTGGGAGGGGGGAGGATGTGGGGAAAAGGTGTAGGAGGGTGAATATAAAGGGTGTTGGGTGTGAATATGGTGCAAATACTGTGTACACATGTATATAAATGGACAAAAGAGACACACTGAAACTATTCTAGGAATGGAGAGAGGGGGATAAAGAAGAATGATGGAGGGGGTGAATTCAAGTATGATGTATTTGATATATTGTAAGAACTTTTGTAAATGCATGATGTACCCTCAGCAGTTGAATATGACTATGTAAATTTTATTGTTTTATACAAAAATAAGGGGAACCAGAGGGCAGGAAAGAAGGAAGGAGGAACAAAGGAGGGAAGGAGGGAGGGAGAAAGGAAGATAGGGATGAAAGGAGGAGGGGAGGAAGGGAATTATAATGGGTATGATATTCAGTTACTTTTCAGTTATAGGTGGATAGGCAACTGCTTGGATATTGATGAGGAGTCTGTCAGAGGGAAGATTTCAATAGGTAAAATATGAGAGAATTTGAAAAGTGTGTGTGTGTGTGTGTGTGTGTGTGTGTGTGAGCACATATTCCTTCCCATTTTAGAGCTATTTTTTAATTTAGAATAAGGACTTGATTTCTTTTGCTAATAACTTAGAACCAGGAAAATTAGCAAAAGAAATTCAGGAGGCTATTTAAATATTTGTTCATTGACAAAAACAATCCATATATTATGAATTATATGTCATGAACAATAATTCATTTATCCATAATAATTTCAATGTAAAAAGAAATAAGCAAAAATCACAATATAGCATCAGTTTTCTTTATCATAAAACATATAATCAATTATTCAAAAGATAGACTATATCAATATTTCTGTATAAACATTACTTGATACTTTGTAACAATATATCAAAGTAGAACTAAGTTCCTTTTCGTTCCCTGATTTCATATACAAAAGACCATTCGTATCCAAGGAAGCTGCTACTAGGAAAAACCATAAAGGCTCAGGATGCATAAAGTTTAGTGCTGTACGGAAGATGCTTGATTCATTTTCCCCATAATGCCATCCAATTTCTGCCAAAGACACGCCACCTTCCAACAAATCTAAAATTTTCACTCTATCACTTGAATTAAGTACATTATGTGCCCTTTTTGGCCTGGGAGGATTACCATAACTTTTCCCTTGCTTTTTGGGAGGCAGACTTTCACAAAATTAAGGGCAAGGAAACACTTCGCAGATCACACAATAATTTAAACATAACTGACAGTGTGGGACTACTGAGAGCTTTTATGCATCAACAGAGCTGCATGACGTGTGTGCTGGAATTTCAAATTTTCATTTTGCATTTGATTTTGTTTATTAGTTTTGACTGTGCTTGGGCAAACCACTTGTAATAAATCCACATATAAGATAGGCTTACTGTCTGCTGACCGCAGTACTACTTTTAGACTAATAAATTTCATTCCTATTATAAACTTTCATTTAATCATTCAGAAATGTTTACTTACACAAACATTTCAAATGGTAAATGCTAAAGCAATAAAGATGTAGGAAATCATATAACACGCATGAATGATTATGGCTGATGATAAACATATATTTGTATTTGAGGAGTTGGATAGTTTTAGGATCAGACATTGTTCATAGTTATTTTCAGGAAGTCCAAAGCCCATTCCAGAGTAAACCTGGAGGTCTCATGAACAGTTCTCATTTATATTAGGCCCAATTCTGCTTCTGTATTGAAAACAATAAAATCTCAGCAGTGTTTTTGTACTTTTGACCTTAGAATAAATTATCCTAAATCAAATTATCAAGAGTATCAGGCCAATTTAGTAATACCATTCCAAAATTTCAAATTCATTACAATCCAGTTTGATATCCTAGGTATAAGAGGACCTAGATAATCTCCAAGAGGTAGATGGATTCTTACTATACTATAAATGCTTGAAGCAAAATTCATGATACCATGAATGTGCCCCAAAATATGTTATAAAGAAAGTTCTCTATATGGTATAAGGTCATGAGTAACAATTGTAAAATAAGCAGATTCTTAACAGAGAATTTTGTCTTTAGAGTCTCCATGGTGGCAGACCAACAGGTGAAAAAACAAATTCATTTCAGGAAATACCTGTTTTATAATAAGTGTTGTTTTTGACTATCATCCACAAGATAATGCAAAGAGCCATGAAGGAAGCTGTATAATTGCTAAAGTAGAAAGACAGTAATTTCTATTGCTGGGAAATACCCCAAAACACTAAGTGTACAAGTGAAATGAATACTGATAGCCAAGTCAAAAGGTTCAAAGCCTTACCACACTGAGTAGTTGGGCAAATTATTTAGCCATCAGAATCTCTTCTTCTATAAAACAGGAATGGCAACATGACCTATTTCTGAAGTTTTAGGGGAACATGAAAGGAATTAATACAGTAAAGTGCTTAGAATTGTTCCATTTAGGGTGACTACGCCATAAGAATTGTTAGATAGCTATACCTCAAAAGCTAGCAAGCAGTAAAATGCTGGTGAAGATACCATGAAGCATGAAACTCAAACGGAAAATCATGCAACATTTCAGGATTACAGTCCTTGTACGGGTGTATGAATACACTACCTTACCTTACTTGTACATACCCTTAAATACTTAAATAGATAATACTGATATTTTGTATGCCACATTGAAAGGCTGGAAGCACCTTTCCTGAGAAAATGCTTAGTTATACACCAGAGAGGATGAGCAAAGGCCTAAGGAGAATAAGATCTCTCCTTATTCATTTAATTGAAGTGTGTTCTGTTTTCCTGTCAGTATATATGCATTTCTATAAATCAGGGCTTGGTTTTACTCACAGCAATCATAAACTCCACCTGTAGTGAAGACATGCATCAAAGTCTAAGCACACTTTCACAAAACACTGGACATATCTTTCCAACTCTTGATTTCAGATTCTTCCTGGCTGCAAACAGCAGCCACCATTCTTTGAATCACACTATATACATTTTTTTAGCAGCACTGATGGGTTGATCCAGGGCCTCATGTTTGCTAAGCAGGCACTCTACCACTTGAGCCAGTCCACCAACTCCGTGTGTTTGTGTGTGTGTTGCTCATTTTTGAGATGGGGTCTCACTTTATGCCCAGGCTAGCCTGAACTGTCATCCTCCTACTTATGCTTTCTTGCATAGATGGAATGACAGGCACATAACAGCACTCAGCTGTTGGTTGTGATGGGGGTCTCATGAACATTTTGCTAGGGCTGTCTGGGAACCACAATCTCTCTACCTCCCAGGTAGCTAGTCATCTTGTTTAGCCAACACAGTATGCTTTTTTATGGAGGTATGTGCTAACAGAATTATGTTCTATACTTCCCCCTAATTATTTTATTTAGATAATATTACTGAATATCAAGAAAATTAGTCACAAAGGCAGAGGGTACCATTTGCCTCCCTGTGTGTTTGTGTCTATTGTTTGCCTCCATTTTTATCCCAGAAAAACAGTGACTTTCTAGGGCCTGGCTAGGCAGTTATTATTCTCAAATAGGGAGGGCCAATGGGTTGCAGAATGAACTTAACAGAACCTGCTGCTTCCCTTGCCCATAATTCAGTAGAGAACAATTTTCCCAATAACAACACATCAGAAGATGAAATTACATCATGGTAAGACATTTCTTATTATCTAAAAGTCAACTTTAAACTATGTCATTTATTCATAATACATGTATTCTTCATTTTATTTATACACATAAAAACCAGTGTCAAAAAGTCAACACTGATAATGTTGAAAGAATTCTTTGATCAAAAAACCTGAAAATGAGATACAGATTTTCTTTTTTTTAAATTTAAAGTGGAATTTACCTTCCATCTTAGGAAAGCATCTGGTTTCTTTGCCTATTTAGTATGTTTGAAGAAAGTTTTCCTTCCCTAAAACATATTTTTGCTTGATTTTCTGGAATGTTGTCTTACTGCTAAAATATTTATTGATGTATAATAAATTCCACTTAAATACTGTCATTTTTGTAATTTTAAACACAAAGTTTAGACTGTTTCCTAGAATAAATAAGATACGTGTAGTATTTCTCCATCAGATCTTTAGCCAGTTCGTTTCCGTAGCTGAATCAACATCAGGTAAGGAGAAGTAGCTTCGGCCTTCAATTCACTGTAGGAAAGAACACAGTCATCAAAACGGAGCATGTTCAACTGTGGAGACACAATGGCTCTACCTCCACCTCTACCAGCTCGACTACCACTGTATGGCCAAGTCTGTACCAACTGCTTTCATCTAAGAGATGACCATTCATGGATCTATTCTGATCACATGTGAAAGCATTTAATGTGCAAATTCAGCTAGGTTTAAAAGGATAAGAGTGAGAAGCCAGAAAGTCAGAGCCCATTGCTGCCTTTCTATTCAGAGGAGATACATACCAAGGTGAGTAGGAAATGAGAAAGCACGAAGCACCTGCTCCCTCAGGATGTCTTAGTTGTGTGGGTTTCTCACAGCCTGAACTTTTACTTCCACTGATTTTAGCATTTAAACTATACATGTATACATACCCTCACCTATACATCAAATATGTACATATAAAAACATGGGCTCTTAATCTCAAGCAAATCACCTCTGCTGGTATTCAATGCAATAAAAATCTGTATGTTTTAATGCTTAAGAAAAAAACCCTTTCTTATTTGTATTTAACAAGATACAGCATGTAGCTATACTCTGGGGATAGTTTTGATAGATTTGCCAAGAGATTTTAAGTGTATATGATTTTTTTTCTTAATTGCTCTGTTTGTGTTTGTGTCTGTGTGTTTGTGTATGTGTGTGTGTTTGTGTGTGTGTGGTGTGTGTTTTGTGTGTGTGGTGCATGTGTGTGTATGGTGTGTGTTGTGAGTATGAGTGTGTGTTGTGTGTATGGTGTGTGTTGGGAGTGTGAGTGTGTGTTGTGTGTATGGTGTGTGTTGTGTGTATGGTGTGTGTGTGTGAGAGTTTTTGTGTATGTGTGAGTGTGCATGCAAGTATGTGTTGTTCATGGTGTGTGTTGTGTGTGTGTATGGGGTGTGTGTGTGTATGTGTGTTGTGTGGGAGTGTGTGTGTATTGTGCATGGTGTGTGTGAGTGTGTTCTGTATGGTGTGTGTGTGCATGTGTTGTGTATGGTGTGTGCACATGTGTTGTGTATGGTGTGTGTGAGTGAGTGTGTGATGTGTATAGTGTGTGTTGTGTATAGTGTGTGAGTGTGAGTGTTGTGTGTGTGTGAGTGTGTGTGTTTGGGTGGGGGTTGTGTGTGCATGGGGAGTGTATGTGTGTGTTGTGTGTGAATCTGTGAGTGTGTGTATGTGGTGTGTGTGTTTGTGTATCTGTGTGTTGTGTGTGTGTTTGAGTGTGTTTGTGTGTGTGAGTGTGTGTGTTGCGTATGGTGTATGTGAGTGTGTGTTGTGTATGGTGTGTGTGTTTGTGTATGTGTGTGACTGTGTGTTATGTGTGTATGGTGTGTGTGTGAGTGTGTGTGTGTGGTGTGAGTATATATTTGTGTCTGAGTTTGTGAGAGTGTTGTGTGTGTGTCTGAATGTCAAGTGTGTGTGAGTGTGTATGGTGTGTGTGTGGTGTGTGAGTGAGTGTGTGTGTGTTGTGATGTGTGTTTATATGTGTGAGTGTCTGTGTATATGGTGTGTGTGTGGTGTGTGTGAGTGTGTGTATGGTGTGTGTGTGTATGATGTGTGTTTATATGTGTGTCTGTGTGTATGGTGTGTGTGTGGTGTGTGTGAGTGTGTGTATGGTGTGTGTGTGTATGATGTGTTTGTGTTTGTGTGTTGTGTGCGTTTGTATGTGTTGTGTGTTTGTGTGTGTGTGTTACTGGAAATTGAACCCAGGGCCTTGCACACGCTAGTCAAATTCTGTACCAGTCCCAAGCCACACACCTGACCCTTTTGTTTGTATTTGTTTTTGATCAGGTTTTGTTTGTTTGTTTGGGTGTGACTAGGGTTTTAGGGCTCCCAGCTTGCAAAGCAGGCACTCTACCACTTGAGCTACACCTCCAATCAGAATTTTGTTTTTGAGAGGGTCTCACTAACTTTGCCTGGGCTGGCCTCAACTTGAAATCCTCTTGCATCTGCCTTGTGAGTATCTTGGTTTACAGACATGCATCATCATGTCTGGTTTAATCACTACTTTTATACTCCAGTCTCTCCCTACAGTTAAAGTTCCATTGCATACTGGTGAATCCAGGCTTACCAAACCCTGTTACAAATTATACTCTTAAAGCAGCCAGTGGGCTGCTTTTTGATTCATTTTTCAAATGAGAGACCTATTTTTATGTCTTTAACACTGCAAATTCTATCAAAAATCAGACAAAAAAGGATATTCGGTCCATTCTCACCATTTCAATAGGAAATTTCCCTCACTTGACTTTACCCAAGTCATAGGGACAAGAAAAGTCTTTAAAACAGTAGGTAGATAAATGTTGATTAAGCATAGCTAAAAAAAAAAAAAAAAAACAGGTCAAAGAAATCTTAACACATCCTCTCTGCTGTATGGACCAGAGTCCCAACATCCAACACTGGAGTGGTTACAATAGAGAGGCAACCAGTTGCTTCTCTGCTCCACTCTGACTCCATTCCCTTCTGGGTCAAAGTCACTGAGTCTAGCCAGTACACTTCACCATGCCCTGGGAAACAGTGTCTACAAGGAAGGTAGCAAAACATTGCCATCCCTCCCTTCGCCTGGAAAATCATGCTTGCCCTCCTATTCCAAAGCCTTTACCTCTTCCCCAACTGAATTACTACTTCTCTCTGCTTCTGAAATGTGGGCATCTCACTTCCTCCTTAGATATTTCTTTTCTTTTTTAAGAGTTGTGTTCCTAGTGGCCAAAAAGTTGAAAACTCAGCACCTGGAGGCCCAAACATTTAGAGAACTTAATTCAAAATGGTTTCATCCCTAGTCTGTAATTATATACATCATTAGCAAAGTGAAACATTGTTGCAGGGAGTTTTAGAAAGATCTGAATCTGCCTGAATTTCTAGACAGATACTAATCACAGTGAGTCTGATTTCCTACCTCAGGAACTGTGCAGAAGAGTTTCAGAAAATGAAATTCTCCCCTACAGGGACCAGACAGGGAAACTCAAAAGCTGCTAGAACAGGAAGTTTTTAATCACTTTTCAAATGATACATGTAATTACAGGCTATGTTTTCTTTTAGGCTGTAATTTCCTATCGTTTATGGAAATGAGATTTGAGCACAGATTCAGATTCAGATTAGGCCAACAACAAATATTACTAAAAATGGCTTAGATGGTTTTAACCATCATTTTGATTGCTTTTGTGAGTCATAATCACTGCTTGAAATTAATCATTATTAGGTAGTTGTTGAAGATACTTTTTCTTATCAATGAAGAAAATAGAAATACAAGGAACTTGTCCTACCCTCATGAAATTTACAATCTTTTAGATTTGAGAGATGATATGGAATTTCCATAAGTACTAACAATTCATGATTAACATATTCAATAATGGCATAAAAATAAAGCAAGAGAGAAATAACAATGTAGTGATTTGGAGTAATGTTGAAGTTGTTTTAGGGGAAAGAAGGAGGGAAGTTATCTAAATTTATTCATTCATTTTATTCAGTAAGCATTTATATCTTATGGCTTAAGGATTCAATGTGAAGAAGATTGACACAGTTCTGAACTGTAACTGGAAGACAAAAAATAAAAAATTACACATTAATTGATCAGAATTTTCCTCAAGTGGATTGAATTGCCACCATGTTCACCAGAAGTCGTGAAGGTGGGACTGGAAGTGGGGGTGGGGGGTGTAAAAAGACCTTACCTTGTAGACACAGCCTTAGATACTTTTGTCCTAGGAGTTTCAGACCAAAGGGCCACCTTGGTTTTTAGTTCTTTATTCTAAAATTTAAAAAAATCAACAATGCAGAGATCAATTATCTAACCCACCTATTAACTATATCCTTGATGCTTCTGCTCAAGCTAACTTCTGCCTCACTCCAATATGGTAAATTTGTTGAGTCATTCTATTAGACCACAGAAAATAAAGTCAGTTAAAAGTCATTAAATATTATCTCTAAAGATACAAATACACCTTGAAAAAAAGCATAATATACCAAGGAATTAAAATGCAACCTCTGAAATTCAACAGCTGAGCTATCTATGTTTGATTTCACAGAAAATTTATATAGATAAATGAAGATAACTTTATGAAAGAATCTTATCAGAGAAACCCACATTATTGATTACACAAATTACACAATTATCTTTCTTATATATTCTCTTGGTTTTATTTCACAAAAATAGGCACCATTTCTTCTTTATAGTTCATGGTATCTCTAGCCTCAATCTTCTTAAAGCTTTATATTCTTCATCTGTGACTAGAGAAAAATGAAACAGATCCTTCTTGTAGAAATTGTTGGAAGAAACAAGTACCATATGATCATAGTATTTTTAATCTAGAAGCAATCTATAATTGTAGGAGAAAATGGAATGATGGATAAAAGCAGATGAGAATAAATTCTTAGGTACAAATCTTAGCACAGCCACTAACTAGTTACATGACTTCGTTTAGATTTCTTAACCTCTTTGGGCCTAATTTGCTTATCTGTATAACGAACACAATGATAACACCTTCTTCACAGGTTTGACATGAGATAAACTGTGCAAAATACTCAGCTGGGTGATTAGTACAGATTTTAAGAATTAAAAGCAGTTGGTGACAGTTTCTAGTCTAACTACCATTTTTACAACTAAAACTTGAAATCCAAAGACTTTAAGTACCCACCATCTTGTTCATGGAGAGCATAGTGTCAAGTTGTATCTCCCCAGTTCAGAGCCAGTGTTTTCTCTACAATACAGCCAAGCCCAGAAATTTCATTTCACAGCTATGGATAGTGAGAACAAAAACAGGAAAAGATTTTGACCCTGGTTGAGCTCCTGACCCTGGTTGAGCTTCGACAGGCCAGAGTTGTTTCATTCTAATTTAGACAGCTTTAAAGGACACACTTGTATAGAAGTGTCTGAGACCCACAAGCAGCTAGGTGGAATGGTGGCAGGTGAGATTGTAACTTTAAAAGAATAGCAATACATCAGCTTCATTCCCTGCTAGGAGATTAAAGACTTAAACAGTTACCCAATTGAAGTTTTAAAAGCATTTTCTAGGATTCCATCTTTTGATTTAGAGTAAGACACTCCAAATGCATAGTTTTAGGAAATAGACATTAGAATTTTGACAGAAGGAAGAGAATTAATAAGTATAATTGCCTAGCAAATGTTAACATTGATACAGTTTTTTTATATTTATTATGTACATTATTTACTGTTTTTGTTCTTTTTATTTTTTTGAGACAGCATCTCACTATGTAGCCCAGAATGGTCTTGAACTTGGGTTCCTCTTGCCTCGTCTTCCAAGTATTGGGATTACAGGTGTATACAACCATGCCTGGCATGTATTATTTCCTTTGATATGACTCAGCTCTGCATAATGTGCATATTATTATTATTATACAGATATTATACATTGATAGATACATATTATACTTATATATTATATGTTTATGTGGTTTACCTGGTAAACCACAGGTAGTGTGTGCAGCAGGGACCTAGGTTCAAGCTCTGTGAAGGCTGTCTGACTCCAAAGTCCACACTCTTTTCCCTCCAGGAGATTAGTTTCCTACATGACCACAGGCATTACCTAGCCTCCTTATAGTATAAATATGAAAACAGTGACCCCAGTAGAGCAGAGAATCAAGAATTTCTGAAAGAATTCAAGGTAGCATAAATATGAAACAGAAAAAAAAAAAAAGCAAACTGTCAGGAAATTAATCAACAATCAGTTTCAACCATCCAGCTTCACACACATGCAGCCCAGTTATTCAGTCCCTGCCACATGTATAGCACTGAGCCCAGACCAGAGAAGATGAGAAGCAGCACAAGAAGGCATGGGATCTTCTCTTCCAGTATATCAGAGATGCATTGTCATTGAGGGAATACCAAAAAGATGTGAATAGCAAAAAGTAAATAAAATAACAACAATTCAACAGATGTGAATTGTTCAAATGGTAGCTAATTAATGATTATAGAAAAGGTGTCAATAGAAATCAGCATGACTAGAATAATTTAGGACTTTTCATACACACAGAGATTAAACCTGGACCTTAAAGATGGTGTGAAATGGGTGAGGTGGAAAATGAGAGAAAAAAGACAAAGATGTGATCCTGGAATCAGCAGCACCAGCATCACCTGGGAACTAGTTACACATGCAAAACCACCATCCCAAGCAGACCCACTGAGTCGGCAAGCTGGAGCCTGCTGATGTGATTATACAGCTCAGCAGGTGCTTCTGAAGGCTGCTCGAGTTTGAGAACCGGTGGACCAGAGAGTGATTTTCAGATTTGGCATGTATTGGCATTGCTCAGAATGCTGATTATCAACAGATGCCTGAGTCTCATCCTGAGATTCTGTTTCACTTGGTTGTAATATGGGTTCAGGAAGATTTTACACTCCACAGGTGATTTTAATATGCAGCTAAGATGAGAACCAGTGAAGGAAGAATAGTGTCAATATATGGATTTTTTCCCCACCTTGGCTCCTGGAATCTACATTGAGAAAGAACCAAAAGATGGAGCCAACATCAGCAGACACATAAATCATTTCACTGTGATAATTCAATAGCTCATCATATAAGTGGCAACCAGAAAATGTACTGCAGATTGGATGAATTGCTGATAAATATGTTTCTCCTATAATGGAAACAAATCTAATATATACTCTGAACAAGTGCAGGCACATATCAGAGGCCAAATATGTGGCTGAGAAAAATTCCCCTCTATTCAGTACTTTACAATTAATGAAACAATTGAAAATACAAAGGCATGATGACAACCATGATTGGAAGAAAAATATTCTGTAACTGGAGAATTATGTAGAAGCTATTTGAGTATTTTCCAAAATAAACTCCTACTTTCTCAAGTAGTTGAGTTCCAAACAATACAAAAGCATGAGAGTTATTATGCTTGGCTGTCTTTATTTCAACTTCCATGATTTGTTTCACCCATTAGATTAAGGCCTTGATTCATAGCCTATTCTACAATTTTTTCTCTAAGTAGAATAGCCATATGCATGCCAATTACATCATTGGTTTGCAAAACAGAACTAGCCAAACCACATCTTCCATCATTATGATTCTATCCTAAAATAGTTTATTGGCACGCTATTCCAAAAGAACATAATTTTTGCACATTTAATCTTTCATCAGCACATTCTAAGAATTAAATTAAATTTTAAGGGTGATGGTGATTATATAATGTAGGCTTTAATGTTTAGAAAATGGAGTTCTTTCTGAAGATGCATTTTCATATGAGTACATTATTAGGGAAAAGTTTAGAAAGGCATGAACTATCAGATGAATGTCAAAGCTATAAATTAAGATGGTGAAAGATATGGAAAAGTAGAAAGAAAGTAAATAATATAGGTAAAGTTAAGCAGAAATTTTCTTGTTATATTTAAGGATGTGAGGATTAAACAAAATGATGTAGGATGCCTGGGAAACAGATAAATGGTTTTAGTACAGATGAGAAAACGATGCTCTCTGCATGGACTAGAAAGCTGGATGTCACAGAGTAGTTTTTCAAGCTCTGGGGACCACAGCTGAACCAGTCTATCCTGTTATCTGATGAATTCCAAAATGGGTGGTGGTCTTACACTTTCAGTACAAGCTAGTACACCCCTGCCTATACCATCTCACCTTAAGGTCTTTACACTAAAGCACGTACTAGGGATAGACTGGGATTGACTCACCATGGCTCACTCACTATGCTTAACTACCTGGTCAAATATCACTTCCTTAGAGATGCTTCAGAGGTCGTCATTATTCCCCAACCCTTTATACTGTTGTATTTGTCCTTGAGGTACTTTGCACTCCCTAATGAAGCTGCATATCTACTTTCTTATTTGTCTATCACCTGTATCCTCAATTAAAATGTAAGCAAGATGTGGTCAGAGGAGACAATCAAACCCAACACTTAAAACATTTCTGGGCATATTACAAATACACAAAAATAGTTGCTGAATAAGTCAGTTAATGTGGATTGAACATTTTAAAGTTCAAAGGGACTGTGTAACATTCACCACTGAGAAGGAAAATGCTTCTCTGCAGAAGAAAATGAATTCTTAGAACTAAAGACACTAATCAGATACTGCTATTATTTGAAGTTTTATTTATAAAAGAGAATACTAGAAAACACTGGGCAGGATTGAGCTACATTCAGAGAATCCAAGACACCATAGATAGGTGCTATCACACTACATGGAGAGTCTATAGTGAACCAAAAAGTTTCCATGAGGGCAACCCAGGTCTGTTGCTGTCACCATTGAGTGGCAAGTCAAAAATCATTTGCTGAAGGTGTAATACAAAGAGAGAGTAGGATAGAAACAGGCATATTGTCCTGGCCTCACAATTAAAGCTAAAAAGCCAATTGGATTAATGTATAGTATCTAGGATAAGTTGTCATTTTCCTTAGGACAATAAAATCTGCTTTGGGGATGATATACACTGATACAACCAAAAAAATAAATAAAGTTGAACTAGGGGCAGTAGTATCATTGACATGGTGAGAGCTGGCATTAATGAAGTGGACTATCATAGAAAGACACCAACTCAAAAAAAACCCCTCCAATTAAAATGTATTACAGATGCACGGTAATTCAAGCCAAATAGGCTGAAATGCTGTAAGAACAATTTCCAATGTAAGAATTTAGTCTAAAATACACGAGTGTTTCAAATTCATTTACTAACCAGAAAATTCTAGAAAGTAGGGATCATGTCTATGTTGTTTCAGTGTTATTTTTCCAAATTCAGTGCTTCTATCATAGTAGTCACTAAGTAAGCCCTTGTATAACTAATTGCTTGATTAATGATATGAACAGTGAACAAAATGAATAAGACCTTAACATTATAATACAGTGGGCATAATATACCAAGTATATGTTCTATAACTTTAACATACACACAGATATGAAACAGGCACATAATTTCCAGTAGAAATATGAATATATACAATCTTGCTGATTGCCCATGGATTTTAAGCCAATAATTCCATAATCCCTACATTTTTGTCTGTACGGAGCCATGAACACTTCTTAATCAATCAAACAGTTCCACATGCCCTAAGGATCTGGAACCTAGAGGAGGCAGAAGGTTTAGAGAACTCTTTCTTCCTGAAGGAAAGGGAGTAGTTGTCCCCAGGAAAGGACAAATGGGAAACAGTTTCAAAACTTAGTATGTAAAAGTGTTCACAATTGTTTTGTTATTATGAGTTTTTATCCTCTGATTGGGAAAGCAGAAAGAACATGGTAGTGGAAGGCATGGTGTGACTGTGTGCTGAGGGACAGATTGTGATGCTCCTCTGTGGTCTGCTCTGCGAAGGAGAAAAGTTCCAAAAAATGAGCAGGTTTCCAATGGAAGTTGAACACTTCTGTCTTCCATGGGACAGGACAACACTGGTAGATGAACACTAAGGAGGAAGTGAAAATACTGAGGAATAAAGTAGGAAAGGCAACAGGGTCCAGGCAATTGGAGATGAGTCATTTGACACAAAAGGGTGACAAAGCAAGAAGCAAAGTTGGGGTGGGGACACCTGTGGGTGCTCTGAGGAACTTCAACCTTGGCTGGGGCTGCACTACACTTGCTATGAGACAGGAGATGACTGTCACTGAAAGCCAGAAAGGGGATTATGAGAAAAAGGGGCACATGAGTAAGTCAGAAGAAAAATGTGTCTTACCATTTTTATCACAGGAAATTAGAAAGTATTATGCTAAATTATAAAACACTGAAAAGCAAGATAATTATAACAGGCTTTTGGAAATAGGCGAGTCCTGAGGCAAAACTTGGAGCCAGGATGGATGTGGATAAAGAAAGAGGTGAAAAGAGAACTAAGATAGGAGACCAGAAGCCTGACCATCTGGCTTGAGTGGAACTTACATAAGAGTGGCCTTGACCAAACTTCTAATTCAAGTCTGTATTGAAAGAGGTCCTTATCTGTCTCACCAATATAGTATTTTGGAAAATGTAGATAAACTTTTGACAACTATTTAACATTCATTTAATATGTAATGTTAATATTAATAATTTAACAATACAATAAAAGATGTTAAATAATAGTGATTTAATATGAATTTAACAATTATTGGAAGTACTTCCCTCAAAGCTACAATTTCTTACATACACATGTTCACAAGAACACCTGTATATGCACAGATACACATATACTTACACTCAGATACAGTCATACAATCACACAGACACACTTAGATATGGTGTCACACATGCACACAATCATACATACATGTTCATATACAGGCTCACTGATATACCCCTCTGCCTCCCCGCCAACACACAGAAATGTACCATAGATTTCCCCTTCTTACCTGGGTTTCAAGTATGTTGACTTTTTCTTTCAGATTTTCAATTCTTTTATCTTGTTCCTTTAAGTTATTTTTTAATCCTTCCATCTAAGAATTAGAAACACAATTGGAAACTCTTCCCAAACCACAGGGAATGGTTAATTTAGTCAAAAATCGTACAGCTTTTTGAGGTGAAATGGTGTCCATCTAATAAAAACATGAATTCTCACAGCATTAGCCAACTCAGCAGGCTTCAGAAAATTGCAGGCCAAATTGGCACCTGGGGAGGAAAGCACTCAGACAGTGCTGTTATACTTTTTAATCTTTGAAGAACCTGTTTACACCAATTCAGCAGGAGCACATGGCCTTCTGTGTGTCTGTCCTGCAGAGATACCTGCTGGAGGACATAGCCAAAGCTTTGCCCTGCATGCAGAGACTCCCTGAAGTGGGGTCCTTATCAGCAGCAGCCTGTGCTACCAAGATGCCACATGAAACTGGGAGGTGGGATGATGAGGTGCTGAAGGGTGCCCAAAGAGAGGGCACCCATGAGTTCTAAAGCCAACTCTATCACAACCAGCTCTGACAGAACCACTCTGAGTCTCACTTTTCTCATGTGTAAAAAGCTGTGTGATGAGCCCCGGGTCCCTTCTGGCTCTCAAATCCCACTACTAAGCTTTCTGGACCTTTGATGAGGTCATGGTCAATAGAGTACAAATGCTACTTTTACATCAGGAAGGCTCTAGAATAACGTGGAAGATTTTGGAAACAAATATTAGGTAGTAAAAACACTGATTTGGAGATCTAGTTTTAAGCACATATCTTGAGGAAGATTTTATAATCTCAAATAGTCCACAATCTAGCTGGCTACTACCCCCATTACCTCTTCCTTTTCACCGCTGGGATGTACCTAGAAAATGGCTTACTAGTTATGAGGATATAGAAACAGATTAACTTCTGCCATAGGAAAGGTCTGAATCTCCTGATCTACAAAATCTAAATATCAGCGAACAGTATCTAACTCAGAACACTTACATAAAAATCAATGACACATCTAAAAACCAGTTAAATACAATTTTCTAAAATATCTCATTGAGAACCTGACAGGTGTTTGCATTATAGTCCAGAGAAGACACTGAAAAGTGAGTCACATTGCATGAGAAGCAAAAGTCTATGTCCGTGGGAAGGAAAGACTCTTTGCTTCTAAAGTAGAGACAAGCCACTTGTACTTGGTGTTCATACCATAAACATACCATCTACCCGAGAAATGCACTTGGTTAGTCTGACCTCCTGGATGATGCTACGCAGCTGCTGATGTTGGGAATGAATCACAAACTGCAAGTGAGAAATCTGCTCCTGAAGGATGGAAATCTCCATTTGAAGATCCTGGCAACTGGGAATGCAAAGGAAGAAAAAGAGAGACAGGTTACTAACACACTCTGCAGCTCCTTTCCTGCCTGTGCTGCCAGCCCTTCCTCACACACACACCACTCTACGGCATTTACAGTAAGACCTCAAAGCCCCACATACCGCACAAGACACCCGGATGACAGACAGCCTGTGATCTGCACAGACATGAATTTGCGTGAGAATGTCAATTCATGTGAAAAGTTGCTTTCTGGTCATCTGTGACTTCCTCCTGCAGGGACTGAGTCAAGTTGTATTGAGCCAGGGGAAGCATTTGTATATCTAAAGTGTCTGACCTATGAGCAACATAGACCTGTCACCCATCAAAAGTCACAGCTAATCACATAGAGTAGAGGGTCAGAGCATGGGAGCAAAAATAGACGTTTTACATGTAATCAGAAAACAATTTCCAATGATACACGCTTAGTATAAGCTTTTTAAAGCTTCCAACAGTTGATAATTCTACTAATTGTAAGTAGAGAAAGAGGAAAAAAAGAAGGAAATTAAATTTAAGCTAGTAATTCTGAGTCACATAAACCACTGTGGAAAAAGATGAGTCAAGTTTATATGTAGACTGTTCATGTTTTCCCAAAGCTCCATTTGGGTGACTAGAATTGATCATATAGTTTTTGGCTACTTATCTTTTTGCCAATATTAGTTATGAAGCCATATTCATTGTGGCAAGACCCCTAAGCTTGTGATCTTAAGAAGTCATTCAATCTTTCTAAGCTTCAGAATAACAGATATAATAATTTCTGCCTTTGCTACTTTACAAAATTAATCTGTAGACCTGAGGAAACAAAGTGAATATGCTTTTGGAAAGTAATAACCTTTTACAAAGTAGCATATCAATATTATTTTAGTCTACCAAGTTTTTATAATTAGAAGCCTTCATCCAATTTCATTACAATTATGTATTGAATAGCCTCCACACATATTATAAAGATTATGGAAATTAGTGACACTATAGAACATGTTCTCATTTGAAAAAAAAAGTTAGTAGTCTCCATTTGTTTCATTTCATATACTACGACATTGCTTCTCAAATTTGATATGCATCGGGGATCCTGTTAAATCTTGATTCTGTTCTAGTAGACTGGTGAAGGGCAGAGACTCTGCATGTAAAATAAAGAAAGCTCTGGGTGTTACCATGACGTTTTTGGTTCATGGATTATGCTTTGAATAGTACAGCATTGAACCACTAAGACTGTTGTGGTAACTTTTAGAATGTAATATGGTCTCTGAAAGACACAAATGTGATTTTCAGGCAACTTACAAACTTTGAGACATTCATTTTAGTGTGTGTGGTCCTGGGGTTTGAACTCAGGACCTCACACTTGCTACGAAAGCACTCTACCCCTTCAACAATGCCCCAGTCCTGGACATATTTTTAACTTTCTCCTAATTTTGTTTTACATGAGAGAGCTTTAAAAATGTTTGACTGTAGAAAAAAAAAATTAACTTCCATAAAACTATAATTATTCTTGTACAAGTAAAAATAACATAAAATGATACTCATTACTATCTATTTATCCTTTGGAATTAAATAATTTAGTACCCTACAGTATCCAACATATGCCACAAAACTTACACAAAATGAGGTTCATTACTGTTCATAGCATTAAAAATGGGAATGAACCAGGAGTTGGTGGCTCATATCTATAATCCTAGCTATTTGGGAAACAGAGATCAGGAGGATAGTAGTTTCATGCCAGCCTGGGCAAAAATTCCTCATACCCTATCACAAAAATATCCAACACAAAAGCAGGCTGGCGGAGTGACTCCAGCAGTAGAGTACCTGCCTAGCGAGAGTGAGGCCCTGAGTTCAAACTCCAGTGCCACAAAAAAAGGTAGGGGGGAATGTTCTAAGGCTGATCAATAGAAGACTGCAAAAACAAAGTATACAATGTCTATGTCACTTTTATTATATAGATAATATATATTTATATAAAAAGTTAAAAATGAAAGCTAGGTAAAATCAACTATTATTTTAAGGAGTACATATAAAGAAAAACAGAGAAATGTTACAATAAAGGTCTGGATAGTGGTTACTTTTGAGAAAAAGAGCTGTGTTTGAAAGAGACATGGCAATACAGGAAGCAGGAAGCAGGGCTGATTTAGGAAGCGGTCATGTGCTGGCTTTTGACCTCTGTTTTAGTTACACCAGTATTTGCTTTCAAAGACTCCACTAAACCCTATGTAGTGTCAATGTTCTGCACATGTTTCCATATGTGTGTCATGCTTCACATGCATGTGTGTTTTTCCAATATTTTTTAAACAGAAAAGACCTGGAGGGAATATAGACTAACCAGTTAAAGGTAGTTATCTTTGTGTGAATTTGGGAGAATTCCATTTTATCTTTGAACATTGCTGTTTTTATATTTTTATACAACAGGCTCATATTTTTGTAATAGAAAAGCAATAATGATCCAAAACCACACGATGTTAAAAATTGTCAGAGAAAAAATAGACTAAGGGTAATAGAGGCCATAACATACCATTAACATATTTCAACTGCTTCAATATAGTTTTAGAAAACTATGGGGAGACAAAAAGAGGTAGAAAGATTCTCCAGAAGATAGACAGCATGCCTAGGGCCTTAGAAAAGGGAGAAAAATCAAATGAGGAATTTTATAGGGGTAAGGGTAAAGGAAAAGAAGGTACAAAACAATGAAGAAACAAGTATATGTACCAAGTATTCATGTCCTAAAAACAGGCCTGATTATCATGCCTATCAAACTAAATTTCACAGCTAAACCCCACTGTCCCCAACTCAACTAGCATGTTATGTAACTACCAGATTGCTAAGCAACTATCATATTAAGAAAAGGTATGGAAAAAAATACAGATTGTCAACTTAGACTGAAGAAAGACTACCAGTTTAATAGTGCCTCAATTTTCCATGTTTTTTATAATATGATCATTTTAAAGGACCCTGACCCCAACAGAAAATTTATCCCACTCTTTATCTTAGAGAAAGACAATGGCAAAATGGAATCATGTCAATGTGCAATTCATTGTTTGAATTTGGGAAGAAGTGTTTGAAAAGAAATAAGCTGGATGCCGGATTCGGAGAAAAATGCTTTATTCCCATATGATTGGTAACTCAGCATTTCTACAGTGCAAGTTCAGGATTGGCCTCTACAAGACCAGTATGTATTAACATCAGATTTCAATTGTCTCTGGGTTTGAGTGTCAGTGGCTTCCTTATCAAGGGCACAGGAGTTTGAGATTATAGGACCCCAGAGGCTGAGATTCATGTCTCTGAGGTAGGAAACTCAGAGCCCGTCTTAAACAGCAGACTTTGGAGGTCTGCACACATTCCAATGTGACAGTGAGAGGGGCTCACAGCCCAGAGGAACCTTAAGAATCCTTAGGTGTTGGGGAAGACTGGGAGCACATGAGGGGAGTTTCTGAGAAATCTGTGGGTGATGCTCACCCTCGAAGAGTGAAGTTGCTGAGGACATTCAGAGGATAGGGAAGACCAGAAATCTCAGATGTAAAATCTTCAAGGAAAAGTCAAGTTAAGGACATGAGGGATCAAAATGGCACAGAGGGATAGTAGGAAGCTGGTTCATAGCTGGTACTAAAATTCAAAATTACTCTAGTGAGGAAGGAAAAAGAAAGAAAGAGCAGCAATGGCCCACTTAGTGGTCAGACTCAGGACGTCCCTAAGAAGTAATGTAAAAGAGCTCTAGATACTTTACAGAAGCAAATTCGCTTTGAATATGCCTACAATTAAAAAATATTGTGATGTTAATGACTATTCAAAATAGTCCTCATTGTGTCCCATGACCCAAAAACACTAGAGTCAAAGGCAGGAAAAAAGATGGGTTGGAAAGAGGTGGATATTATGTTACCAAAAATACCAAGCTCAGAACATTTTCCCATGAGTTTCTCAAAGGTATTATAATAAAGTTCATAGTAAATAAATAAAAATGTGAAAGCAATCTAAGGATGAAGAAAAGTATTTCAAGAAGTTCTCTTGAGAACTCAGGACTTTGAGGCTTACCTTGTCTCCATTCATACACTAGAAGAGTGACTAAAGGACATTGCAGGTAATCCTTACAAGTCGAACACTCCTTATCCTTTAAGCTTTATTACTTATTTTTCCACTAAATCATTCAGTCTTACAAAAGAGGCTTGTAAGCAATACATGAAGAAAACATAAGAAAAGGCAATCCCAGAAATCGAGGCAAAATATTTCTAACAAACGCCTGTATCTAGGATTCATGCTCTGTCTCTCAGCATCTCAATACAATTTTTGATCAATGCTTTCCCTCTACAGTGCAATAGAATAAAAATAAAAGTTGACATTAAGAGAACCAAAAAGTTTAGGCTTTGGAGAAGAAGTAGAAGACATAGTTTTCCCTACTCTTCCCTGAAGACACAAATAAACATCCTGGGTATTGTATATAGCAAGCATATGAAGACTCTCAACAGTGAAGGGAAGAATGCAGACTGGCTTGGCACTCAAAGATTCAAGGAAAAATAGTGGCAAGCTCTCTGCATTTTCCTTTTGCCTCATATCCCACCCAGACTTGAAGATAAAAAAGCTGGCAGTCAGAATGTCAACAGGAGCAGACAACAAAAAGAGGAGAAAAAAGGAGTCCCTACACAAAGAGAGCAGAAATTCAGCCTTTGCCTTTTAGGCAGGATATTGAGGATTCTCCCTCAACTCATCACTGAGGGATAGTTAAGAGAGGACCATTCTCTTCCTATTATATTCTGCAGCATTTAAGAAAGGAAGTGAATCCTATCTTTAACTTGCAGAAATAAGAGAACAAATGCCTTTACCCTTATCTAGCAATACTAAATGATCTTAGAGTAAGTACTTGACAGGAGATCCATCCTCAACTTCCGTACTGTCCAATGTCTGTCAAAGCTTGGTGGGGGGAACCTGAGTTCATGGAGGGCTGTTTTTTCATCTATTCCTCACAGGGCCCTTTGAGTTAACTTATACAATTAGATGCCACCTTCATTGGATGTTGCCACATTGCCCTCTGCTCCTCACTGTTATAATGGTTTTGACTGAATTGCTGGTTGGCATAATGCTATCCTTCTTAAGAAGATGTTTTGAGACATCATTTCCGTGTTTATTATGATTTAAATGAAGACATTATTTAGGTTATTCTTCATGAACCTTCTCTGAACAATTTCTGGCTGTAGGGATATATCAGAATAAATTGAACTCCTCCTAAGAACTGGTTAGTTTTAGTCATATGAATATTATAAATCATAAAACTAATCATAATTTCCTTTTTGTGTTGGCTGCTAGAAAATTTTAAATTGAGCCAGTGTTCTACTGTAAGTCTATTTAATATATATGCTTTATTTTATAGATTGACCACATGAAATTCTTGTACTTTCTTGACGTCACCCTCTATTTTATTTCCAATTTAAGTAATTGTGATATATTTAATATAGTTTTTATGAACAATTTTTAATTTTCTTAGAACCCAGGGTACATAAATAAACAGTTATAAATTTATAAATAATATAAGCCTTGCCATGATTATAAATCAATCCCAAGAAATAACCTTTCAGGTAAAAATTACACTTATTACCGGGGATTAATGCATTCTGATGTCACGGGAAGGAAAAATTCCAAAAGAAATAAAAGAATAAATACTGTGATAAAAGGAAAGTAAAAGGGGCAACTGAAACTATGTTGCATGCTCCAAATAGTCTACTTCTGGGTACACCATACATTACCCAGGTATTGGAAATATGTATAACCCTAGTTAGAATTCCCACTTGAGAGAGAAGATGGTGAGATTGGTAGCATCCTAGAACTTCACGGAAGCTATGAAAGACTTCTACTCTAGTTACAGGGACTCAAAGATTGCCTCTCAAGGATCTAATGCTTCTTTAGACCTCCATGGCTGTAGACATCACTGAGTGTGGATCCCAAAAGAAAAAGTGGGTAACTGAGAATCACAACCATGAGAATAGAAGAGGTCAGGTTTTTACCATCTCCTAGCCAGATCAAAGTGAAAAACTAGCACAGATATAGGCTCTGTTCACATTGCAACAAAACTCAAGAATGATTTTTTTATTGCTTATCAAAATCCTTTCGTTGTTATTTCCAGTGGTGGGACAAAAGGGATGGCTTGAGAGAGTCTCTAGACGACCAAAGAGAAATGAATAACGTGAGTAGCTTTGACCTCCAACCTCAGCTCTGAGACAGTCATTCCTCCCCAGAGGACCTTGTTATGCTGAGCAACCCTTAATTAAATGGAGGAGTCAACACTGCTTAATTTTACCAGTTCCAATGTGCTTTCCCCAAAGATAAAAAGAGCCTGTGTAGTACGTGAGGTAGCAAAGGAGAGGGACAAGTGGACTTCAGAGGTCTCCAGAAATGAACCACAGGAGGCAAAAATCCTCCATAGCAGGATGAAAAGGCCTTGCTAAATATGAGAATACTCGATCCAAACTCCCAACCCTACAACTTCTGAAAGGCCAAGTATCTCGACAAGTCACTTAACCAGTTACAAGCTCAGTTCCCTTTTTGGAAGGTCAAGGGAGGGATTAAGTTTAATAAGGTACACAGGATTACTCTGTAAGCTGCAAAGCACTATACATATTAGATAGAAGCAATGGTAATAGAAATACAGAATTTACCCTGTTTAAAAGAAAACAAATCTTTCAACTTTCCACCTCTTTTTTTGGCTGTAGCTCTCCAATCTCAGCCTAAGAGAAATCCCATTATCTGTAGTAGTTTAACCAAACCTCTGTTGCTCTAAACTAAAGAGTCTGATTCATACTAATTTCACTTTGTTGTCACCTAGTAAAATGAATATCCCTACATACAGCTCAGAAAAGGAAATAAGTAAGATAAATATTTGTGATGCTTACAATCTATGAAAATTGTATAAGCTTGTATGTTCAAACACAAACCACCCATATGCCTCAAGAAATTTCTAAAACCTCCTTAAGAGCTTTTTGAGAATTCCTTATGACAACTGCTCACATATAACAAACAGAACTGAAAGAATAGATTAGCTTGGTCATTTTAAATGATTACACTGTTGGCTCAAAGACTCACAAAAATCCTATTATCAGTAAAACAATCAAACAAAAACATCAAACTCAGACTGTCTGGACCCTTAATGGAAGACACATTGTATAAGCCTGTAGTTCTACTACATGGAAATGCTCTCTATATTAAAAGAGAGAGAGAGAGAGAGAAGCCAATAATGCACTTAGAATAAATAACAAATATCTGAAATTCCATAATTTAAGGATGCCCTTGGCAGTCCTTTCATTCTTTACCAAGAAGCACACAGTGCCACACAACTGTCATAGAATCCACCTTGTCGGGTTCTATGCTTGTTCACAGAGAAGGAAATAAAAAAATTAATAACTTATTAGTATGCCAGCATGTTTCAAATATGTGTGTCCAACTGTCAAGCTCAGCCCATTTTGGTTTTTGGCATATGTGGTCAAAAATGCATGATTGTGAATCAGACAGAAAGCACAACATATAAGGAGAGATACAAAGAGGCAGAGAGGTGAGATGAAAGGACAGGGAAACAGAGAGGTCACATGATCAAGAAAGAAGGATATTTGCATATATATATATAAATACTATATATATATATATATATATATTTACTGTACTGAGGTTTGAACTCAAGGCCTTCACCTTAAGCTACTCTACCAGCCCGTTTTTGTGATGGGTTTTTTCAAGATAGGGTCTCACAAACTATTTGCCCAAGCTGGCTTCAAACTGAAATCCTTCTGATCTCTACCTCCTGAGTATCTAGGATTACAAGTGTGAGCCACTGGTCCCCAGCACATATATTATTGCATAAATGACAATATGAACTTGCCCCTCATGAGGCTCTTATGAGTGAGTCTCATACCCTAGTATATAACCTAGGGAGTGAAAGTTCTAGATGGATGAACTAAGATGTTAAAACAGAGTTGACATTGAATGCAATATCTTTACATCAGAACATACCATGATGACTGTGAAAGAAAAAAAGAGAGAAAAATCTCAGAAAATGTCTGTGATATGAGTTATAACCTAATAGTCCAGAGGATTTCCTAATGGCAGTTGAGTAGGACAGGGGTTGTGATAACCATAAAGCCACCCCCACCCTTGCATACTAAGTAATGTGACTGATTGATAATTATGAGTATGAGTGAGTGCAAACAATTAAAGATTTTTTCATAGTATTTCCTTCACAGAGTTGAAGAGACCCACAGACTCAGAATTTCACTTGTGGGCTGACCAGTTTAATGCAGGTGGTAAAAGAGACCTACTAACCAACACAGAAGCGTGGGGGATGAAGGCATCCCCACTATCTGTAGCAACAAAGATAAATGGGGAAGTGTCAGGTTTACTCACTGTTCAGAAGAATTAATGCTCCCACTGGATCACTGGGATCCCCAGTGAACTCTAAGCCCTGCTTCCTCAGTACATGTGAAAGGGGAGCTATTAATCTTAAAAATTCTCCTCCTCCCTCCTACACTTAATAGTTGTCCTACTTCCCTGGGGAGTGGAAAGCACATCTGAACACTGGTGCCAGAGGAAAGGAAAGACAACAGGAACTGCTTTGACTTAGGAAATAAGTTTGCAAACCTTTTAGTATATGAAGCGTTGGATTTGAGTTGCAGCAGCTTGCTTTCCAAAGACAATTTTCTTTCTAGTAATGCTTTCTTTTCCTAGGAGAAAATAAGATACAATTTTTGTTTTTGTGTTTTCATGTGTGTATGTCTGTGTACACATGTGTTTGGTAAGGCATTCTTGCAAAACTGTTCACAAAAGATGACTCCTGCAATATTAGAAATACAGATTGAGCTAAGAGCTCATTTTATGCTAGCTGTTACAATACATCCCAAGGAAGCCTGGTCAGACCCTGTCTTCTGTGCTTTACAAATAACAAAATGGTGGGTCAAGAGTAGATCTTTCATACATCACCTACACGCACAGCTTGCTCTTCCTTTAGCCCACGGCTGAAATGACGCCACAGTGTGGCTCAACCTCTCCGTCCACTTCCTCCATCCACCCCCGCTCAGACTCTCCCATGACTGCACCTGCCTCTTATACAGTAGGAGAATTGCTGGTATCCAGGGATATCACTCAGTACTTCTACCTGTTCTGGCATCTGTCAGAAAGTGGTGGAGTAGTAAATGTATTTTTAATGAGGGATAAAGGTCATAAACGCTAAAAATTACTCCCTAATTAGGATCCCAGAGGAACTATGACACTGATAAAGAATATCTTTTAAAATGGCATAATTTAATTATTAAACCAAACTCTTCATCCCAAAGGAAAACAGACAAGTCCATGGAAAACCAAGCTGGGATAATTACATTTATTGTGTATTCAAAGGCAACACGCTGAGAAAAGGAATTTTGGAGTTTGGGTTGGCTGGTTCAGTGAGAAGCTAGGGAGAAGAACCACAAGAGACTGTAAAAAGGCAGAAATTGGAATTGGCAATGTAGATAGAAGTGACTGATATCTACACTGCTGTTTTAAATCATACCCTTTTGCAATATTATTGTGGATATTACACAGTGCCATGTAGCAGAAACATGAGAAATATTTTTGACAAATCTGGTTTTGAAATTTTGGCCAAGGTTTTAACATCTTTGAGCTTTATCATTAAGAAAATTTAACCAAAACTTGGAAATGAATGCAATAGAAAACATGTGGTTTTATCATCACATTGGGTAACTGTTTAAGAATCTGTCCCAATAATTATTTAGTTCTTTCAGAAAATTCTCCTGTGTCTGACTTTATTATTACTTGATTAGAAACCTGACTCTCTGAAGTCATATGTTAATTTGTAGATTTCTGTCTGGTAGAAAAGATAATCCCAAAGGTTATGGTTTAATTGCCTTAAAGAATATTAACACTTCTTTTTTATTTGACACAGTAATCCTTTTCTATTCTCCTTTCCCCCAAAATGACTCTAAGTAGCCAGTTTTCACAATATTTTATTTAAACCAGTTTTGCCATCTTACTGGTTCACCCATTAGTTAGTGAACTGAATAAAGAATGTGATGCATAGTCATTCTATATTTTTATGAGTCCTATTTTTAGTTTTATGAACATCCATAAAATGAAGGTATTACCTATGTTTAAATGTTGAGATAATTGGAGAAAACTATCTCTGGGAAATTTATTTCTAAAAGGTTACAGTGAGAAAATTATTTCTGAAGCGTCACGGATATACCTTTCAGGTTTATGATGATGTTTGGATTATCAAACAAACACATCACAAATAATATATTTTGAATTTGTATGGTGGGAGAAATGGTGTTTAACAAACATTCTTTGTAATTGATGTACTCTTGATTAATGGGATAGCATAGCCAGGGTTCAAAGAGAACAGACAACTAAACAAGAAAATGTTCTACTCTGGCAGGCCTCCAGCATCTGGCGTGGGCTCTTACAGCTCCTCTTTGACAGCACAGAATTCACACTTGGTAAAGAAGACACTTTTCAGGCAGAGTCTTCTGAACACACACAGCCCTAAGCAGCCAGCAGCCCACTGTTTCCAATGCCACACCACTGTGGAGCTCAGGATCTCACTGAGACATCTATTTCAATCATTACTAAATGTTAACATCCAAATGACTTCGGAACCCAGAATATCATTTTATCCAGCCTTAGAAAAGAAAGGGGAGTAATGAAAAGTGCTGTAAACTAGAAACTGGAAGATTATGGGATGGTGTCTGTCTCCAAAGTGCCTTTGAACTCTAAAATGCTAATGGAGCTAAATCAATGAGATTAGAAAATAAATATGATGCAACAGAATTGCACTGCTAGCAAAAAGAACATATGCCATATTAAAATGCTCTTATTGGGCTTTTTTGCTAGCTTATCGCTGTGTGTACGGAATTCATTCTCACTGCATTCCTGATTAACGTGGGACAGATGGTGGAGGTTTTAAGTAATGTGTTCATTACCAGACCTCATACCACTAATGGCTATTTACTGGAGCAGGGCCTTGTTCAAGTGAGTAGCAAATGAGCCCTTCTCCAGGGGGCACCCACCACCAGGGCAATATTTATCAACCTTTCTGAGGATGCACATTTTTCAGTTTTGCTTCATTTTTGAACTTGTGTCTTTTTGCTGTTAATACAGAATATTCAGCACCCCTGTTCTGATCTGTACTCTCCACCTGAGAAACTTTTTCAAAGACTATTGCGAAGCCTTACCTTTTGTGGTTTTACTTGTTTTCCAAATATGAACTATTTTTAATTTTAAAAATACTAATATGTTTAAACATTAATGTGTTTTTAAAAAATGGCAGATTGCCCCTCCACCCCAGGTCAATTCACTTCCATTGTCCAGAGACATCCTAATAAGCTCTACCCTAGAAGTCACTGAACTAGAGCCTTCTTGAAGGTTACCACACAGCCTTGCTGAGCAATGGCACTTACTGTGTCACAGAGTTCCTGGAGACAGCCCAGTTATGGGTCAATATCAAGGCAGGAGCTAGGCTATCACTTCCCAAAAATGTCTTGCCAGTATCTGAGCCCTAAACCCTATTCTAGGGTACATTCCCTTACCTTTAGCAGGGCTTTCAGCCTCCCCAAAGGATCTCCTATGAGAATTAAAAACAAGAGATCTGGGAAGGTGTTTAAGCCCCACACTGTTCAATTATGCACATTATAATCTCCACAAATGGTGACTATGTCCAGTTCATTTACAAATACATCTCCAGTCCCCGGTGCCGGGCAGTACATAGCAGGTGCTCAAATATATCAAATGAACAGTGGAATAAATACACCACAGAGCTTTCAGAGGAACTCACATCTTGTAGAGAATTTTCTGGCATTGCTAGTAGATAAAAATTATTTTCCCCCATTTTTTAAAATTAATGTTCAGGGCAATAACTGGCACTAACCTGACCCATTGTTTCTAGTTTTGAGATAGGGTGATTGTAAGTCTAAGTTTAAATTACAAAATAGTTAAGCAAGTTGTTAGGTTAGACAAAGTGTTTGCGTTATGGAATTTGTCTACCTTTCCTAAGTGCCAACATACTTCATGCTGTCTTGGTTACTTAAACTATTATAGGATGAACACTAGCAAGCACCCTACCAAATACTTAAGTTTACCTAAAACAGCGTAATTACAACCTGGCATGCCTGGATGAGCCAACTGCTTAAGGACATTCTAGTCCAGTGATTCTGCTAAAGAGTAACACTCAGTGACCCATGGCACATCAGAGTTGGGGTTGCATGTTATCACTATTAGATCCTGTCAAGTTGGGGCTTTAATTTTTTTAAATTTCTCATAGAATCTTCATTAAGATTACAAATTGAATTGAATTTAGTTATAAAACTTTAGGATTTTGACTGGGGATATAACTCAGTGGAACAGTGCTTGACTAGTATGTGAAAAGTCCCTGGGTCTAATCCTCTGCTACACACACACACACACACACACATACATACACACACAAACACATTTATATTCTGGAAATATCTTTAAACTAATTAAAGGTCCTTTGTTATTAAACCTGATGCTATTAAAATGTGATACTTTTGAAGTGACATTTCTCAAATGGCATGAACACAAAGTAGACTTAAAGAACAAATTAAGCCTGAGAAGAGCAGGGGCAAATTGGAAAATTAATACAATAAATATAAAAATGTATCAGGTAAAATTTACCAGAAGCCAAAGTGTATATTCTTACCTACTTTCAACTCAGTTTCAAAGACATCCATTTTCTATTTGTCTTGCTACAAAGGCATAATATTCCTAACTTTGTCTGAATTCTAAATTCAAAGGTGGGCATATTAAATTTATGTGTTCACCATTTGTGTGTATTTGGAGTGCCAGCAATTTAAAAGAGTACTGCATGAGGTTTTTTATAATTTTTCTTCTATTATTACTCTTCTATAAATATACCATAAATATATCTTTCAAAAATTCCACATACAGAGTGGCTTTCCTTTTTTCTTTTTCTTTTTTTTATTATATTATTGTGCTTTGGGCACATTGTGACGTTTACAGAAGCTCTTACAATATATCATAGTTGGATTCACGCCCTACACTATTCTCCTTTCCTGAAATAGATTCAACATGTCTCATTTTTTCATTTTCATACGTGAACACATAATAATTTCTACTACATTCAGGCTTCTCCACCCTTTCTGTATATCCTCCCCCTCCCACTGGTACCAACCCCCAAAGAGGACCTTTTTACCTGCCTGTTCTCCATTTTTGAAAAAAGGCATTTTTGTTTGTTTAAGATAGCTCTACAGGGAGTTTTCTTGTGATGATTCCATGTATTATAATTTATGTGTATTATAATTCATTTTCACCTTTCTACCTTCTTATGGAGATTTCAACAAGTTTAAATATTCTATACTCATTCTTGAATAGAAAGTGCATCACCCATATTCACCTTCTTAACTTCCTTCTTTTACCCTCCTTCTCCTGTTAGTGACCTCCTCTTAGTGTAACCTGTATTTCTATTGTGTCTATCTCCCACATATGAGAGAAAACATGTGGCTTTTGTCTTTCTGAGCCTGGCTTACTTCACTTAACATTATGTCCTCCAGTTGCATCTAGAATGGCTTTTCTCAATGTGAACTATCTCACATTGCCATCCATTTTTATAAACCCCAAGTAGTCTTGGGTGGCCAAAATGCAGTTGGCACTAACTCTACTACATTACTAGATTATTAGAGTCTCCTCTACTATTTCTCCAAACACATGGGCTTTGTAATCTTTTCCATTATGCCTCTTGACAGTCTCAACTAAGGCACACATTTACCACAAAGAGAAAGTAACACATGACGATATGACCACAGTATTTGTAGAGGTAAATCAATAACTGTAGTACAGGTCATATTAAATGTTTAAGGGAAGAAACTAGCATGATGGAGTACTTCCTAAGACCAAGTTTTGTAAAAGAGCACTTTCACTTCATGTTATCTTATTTGACTTAACATCCTATTTATTTGACTGTTGTTTTCTTTCATTTTGACCTTATCCTGTCAGGAAGAAATCTCTTTAATTCTTGAGGGGTTTACCTTTTCCATCCTTTGGACAAAGTTCTCCAATTCTGTGATTTGTCTGTGCTTTTCTTCAAGTTTTTCAGCAACTTGATTTAGATTTTCAACATGCTGTTTCAATTTTTCTTCTTTATCAAGCTTGTTAACCTTTGGTCAGAAAAACAGTTGCTGGACTTTTGTTTTTATCAGTCTATACACAGATTATTTCTCTATAGAATTTTCTAATTAATGAAAAGAATGAATGGTTTATGGTTGTTTAAAATTACTCTTTTGACTTTAGTGTTTTCTTCAAAATAAACCTGATAAAGTCACTAAATTAACAGAGAATTAATAGTGTATAAATATTATTCCTAGAATGTTTACATTTATTACCATAGCTTCTGAACTGGTATGAAAAGAGAGGTACTAATGTAAGGAGAGCAAAATATTTGACTTTTGCTCAACTAAAATTATCTAGAACCAAAAAAAAATCTCATCTGTACAATTATAATGTGTTCTTTTTGATCAGAAGGTTGATATAAAAGCAAAATAATTATCCCCATGTGCTTAAAGATTTACTCATGAGGCAGATAGTAGGAGTTGAAAGGCCACAGGAAAGAAGTGTCCAAAGGCCACAGTTGGGAGTGTTTCAGCTGACGACCATCTGATATGTACACAAATATCTGTGTCTATATTTAACAGAACCTGAGATTTCCTGGTAAAAAGTAAAGTGCCTATCCTTAAAAACACCAAGTGGGCCGACCTGCCAGGCTACTTGGGCTGGGACTGAGCCCCATTTTAGCAGGGTCGATTACTTGTTCAGTGTACCTCCAGGCACAAATGCCAGCCAGTTCCCTACACTCACTAGAATACATTTTTCAGACAGTTTTGTTGATTGATACTAGCATACAATACTTCAGATTTAACAGTATAGAAAAAAAAAAGTATGAGTTTGCAAGTATATATTTTAAAATATGTGTGTATACAGAAATTTTGTTGTTTTTTTTAATCAGAATAATGTATTCTCAGACCCAAATAATTTTGAACCCATCTGTCCAGAGACCCAGGTCCAGAGAATCAGCACTAACTGGGTATCTTGTTTTTCAAAGGCAGAGTCAGGAGTAGAGCCTCTAACCAGTCTCAGTACAGCCAACTCCAAACTCCAAACAGGAAGGCCCTGCCTCCCACACCCTATGCTGCTCAGGGCTCGAGGCAAGAATGACATTGCAGCAGCACAGTGACATTTGGTGCCAGTCAAGTGGGTTGAGGGGAATCAGCACAAAATAGTGGTGCCCTGCCTTCTCCCTAAACTTCAAATCCACTTGGCCATTGCTTGTTTCACATCTAAATCCTTCAGAAAGAGGGACCAGACTAGCTCAGGTGGGGCCAGTCCTCCAGTAGACAAGCTGCCAGTTGATACCTGGAGTAAAAGTTTACTGTCCTCATGCTTTTTTCTCACATCTTCAGATTGCATTTGATAGTTCTCAAATAATTTCTGGGCCACATTTCTCAGAGCTGCTGCTCCTGCTTCTCTGGAGGCTTCCAGCTAAGGAGAAAAAAGTTACTCTGCATGTCTGACATTTCCAATACGAAGAGTTCAAGGCAGAACAATTGGATAGCCAATTAACAACACAGTCTGTAACTCTGAAAATGTAAAATGAGAAGCCCTCTATTGAGTGGGGCCATGAATACAGATGTATTTGCCATGGCCAAGCCTCAATACACCCTTCAAAGAACTCCACCTCACCCATCAGCTTATACATGTATGTGCAAACCTTTTATCATTGATGTCCATAAGAATACCAACAGGAGTATCACCCTGAATGGAAACGAACAAGTTTGGAGTAGTACGGTAGTAAAGGTCAAGTGTCATGAATCATTCAAGGACTTAACCTAAGGAAATAATCAAGGATGACTTCAAAGATTTACCTACCAAGAGATTCATAGCACAGCTGCATATAAAATAATTCCCTCAAAAGGAAAATACAAAACACTCAACAAGAAGTTAATTAAACAAACTATGAGATATTTGACTAGGAAGACTATAATTAATATTTTTAAATATGCAAATGCTTTTTAAAATTTATTGTTGTAAAACACACAGCACAAGATCTTCCCTCTTACAAACAAATTTGTAGGTGTACAGTACAGCCCTGTCAAATAGAAGCATGGTATGGAACAGCAGGCCTCTGAGCTTACTCATCTTGCATAACTGAAACTTTATAGCCATTGAACTTTTGGTAAAGATTTATTCAGTAATAAAAGTAGTCTCCAAAGTAGAACAGTGAGACTTAATTTGTGAAGTATAAAAATGCTTCTGTGAATTTGTGACATAAGTGTGGACCTGTGGATGTATGTGGGTGTCTCTGCTGGTGTAGATACATGAATGCTGACAATCTATCAGTTAGCTCCAGTAGTTAAAATATGAAATCTGAACTCTCTCTTACTAGTCATACCTTGATTTTCAATACTTCATTCTCTTTGTTCATCTGTAATAGCTGCAGGTCTTTTCCTCTCATTTTTTCCATGAGTACTTCCAAACTGCAACAAGAGGGGTCCATTTCAGAATCAGAGCCATTTTGAATGTTTCCACAGTGCTGAAATGGACAAACATGAAAATCATAGCACTAACTACACTTTTCCCCTACGCAATTTGACAACAATAAATATCTCTCAGTATTACATATATCCAAGAGGATTCAGATTAGCACAACAATATCTTTTGAATCTCAAATATCAATGAGAATTCTAGATGAAGCAGTTGGACTCTGCATTTGATCAAATCTGAACAGATTCTTATATTAAAAGAGGTAGAACTATGTCTTATATTTAAAGAGATAGAACTACTATCTTTTATGTCTCCTACAGTTTTAAATATACTGCTAACTTTATTTTAAGAGACATAATAGCCATGAGATCAGATATTTTTTTTATCTAAAGTCATAGACATAAATTCATTTTTACTACATTGCATTACAGGGTAATACAATGAGACCTAATAGCTATAATGCATAATATTCAATGATGCTTCATTCCAATCACTTCCTATTAAAGATTTAACCAGAGACATCAGAACAGGGTTACTGGCATTGTAACTCTGTGTAAATTCATGCTCACTAAAAGTATACCTGGAATCATGGACATATGAAGGTAGAAAGGAAGTTAGAAAACATTCAACTTAACCTGTCAATTTTACAGGTACAGAAACTGAGGATCAGACCCGAGTTTATACAGCAAGTAAGTGCAAGGGTTCATGGAACAGCCTCTCGATCGTCCATCCTGTGCTTTACCTATTCTTTCAACTTAGCTCAAGTCAGATGGAAAAACTATTATATGACATATATGTAACAATTATGATAACAACTTCTACTTTTAAGCACCTATAATATGCCAGGTAATCTTTTCAATACTTTATATACATTCCTTTGAGTACTCAGAACACTACAAGACACTATGTCCATTATACATGTGATGAAATCAAAGATAAGAGTTTAACCTGTGCATGGTTATACCTATAATTATGGCTACAACCAAAATTAGAGTACAAATCTGCTTAAAAACAGGCCTATTTTCTTTCCACTACAACATACTTGCTGCATTTACAGAAATAAAAATAAAGAATATAATACAGAATGGTAATACCCTCCCTCAACATCACTGCCACAGTTTTGATTTCATGGTGCACACACTTGTTTATATTCTTCCCGTATATGCATAGGGAATTATTTTCTGTTTTAGTTTGCTAAAGAATATTTGGCAGAATGATACCTGTGGAAGGTACATAATTGGCAATGTTTGCTGGCTACAAAAGTCATAGATCAGCGCTTCTCAAACTTTAATCTGCATAAGAATCACTTAGTGATGGATCTGGTTAAAGATGAAGATTCTGAATCAGGAACTCTGGGTGGGAGCCCTGAGGCTGCACATTTAACCATCCTCTCTCAACTCCAGGATCAGGTGTCTAGTCATCTATTCCCTGGAGATCTAAGAGAACTCAGCTTGGCCCAAACTGAGTTTTTTATCTTTTATGTCACTCCCCAACATAATCTTATTTCTTCCCAGTTTCAGAGCACTTACTTTCAGAAATAATTGAGGCAAGCTGTGTTAGATTGGAAGCTAAGAATGCAAAAGGGGACTATGCTTCTGCATGTGTTTTGCACAGTGTTCTAGTGTTCTCTGAGGCATACTATACAGTTACATTAATAAGGTGCTCTTGGCTCAGATGAGATTTAACCTGTAACAATCCAGACAAGATAAGTGCAGTTTTCTCAACTGTAGGTATATAAAGCTGATATTAAAAGTAGTTTGATGGCTTGTATTTAAGATTATTGACTGCCTAACAAAATCCTCATCCTGTTCAGGTCAAACAGCTTTAACTATGTGTCCAATGGTGTGGCCTAGGTAAGCGACAAGTTTAGAGCTTTTTCTGTCATTAGGGAGTGTTGCTGCCATGTCTCCTAGCTGGTCTGACATCTTCCTATGTACCTTGAAAATTAAGCCCTGTTTAGAAATATTCAGGCAAGGTCTGACCATTTCAATCTGATCCTATTAATGACATCTGTGGTTAAACATTTCACACACAGGGCAATTAACATCTTCAAAAAGACACCCATCATTCAAAGCTTCAAAGAATAATTACTACCAGAACAGTTACTTAAATAAAGTCTATAGAGCTTTACTCTATCTTTCTGAAGGAATATAAGAAGTAAGTTCTCCTGAATTCATTACCTTCGCCTCCAGTTTGTGATTTCTACTATTGTGTCCTATTTCATTCTTAAACATTTGTTTTCGGATCTTTTCCAGAGTAGTTCGAATCTAGAGGGGGAAATATTTTATTTTTGGTAAGTCATTTAATGTAAAAATGGCTTTTTCTCTCTCTACCAACTACAGGGTATATGCTATGTCTAGAAAGTAGTGCATACATACTAATGTCAGATTTAATCTTGATGCCACCAACCTGATTGTGTTTCAGGTGACACTGTTTAGGTTGCTGAAAGTAAACATTTAGTCTTTGAATCTCTTTTAGACAAACTTAAAATATGAGAACCTAAATAAATATTATACTACAAAATAATTATTATTTAGTAATTAGTATTTAATACTATGCATTTAGTTCATTTCTGTATTGCAATTTAGTGCTAATTTACTATTTAGTAATTACTATAAAACAATTACTATTTGGTAATCACTACAAAATAATTGCTAACTAGTAATTACTACAAAATAATTGCTATCTAGTAATTACTACAAAATAATTACTATTAAGTAATTACTACAGAATAATCACTAAGAGGAGATCATACAAATTTATGCATGAAATATAAGCCCCATGTCGTCATGATCCATGGAATTTCAAGACACTCAATGATAATTTAATTAGATGATCTGAACAAGTTATGAGCTATAGAAATCAGAATTTGTCCATCTGTTCTAAGAAACAGTTTATATCAATGTCTCCTTTTATAAGCCCTTACCATCCTGGGTTCTCCAAAGATTTCACATTTTTAATGAAGTAACACACCAACATGTATTCATTGGCAATAGTTACCCTGAACTGTGAAAAGGAATGAGGTAAGGAGGGAGACTACTTATCAGGAAGCATAAACATCTACTTGGGAACATAGTATCAGCACTCATGAAACCACTAGGATAGGTTATAAAACAGTGGGAAATCCAGCCACGAATAGGGTGGGACAAATTAAGTATTTATAGGTGTTCTGAACCCTCCCGTCCCATTATTCAGTTATACTAAAATCATTTTACTTCAATTGTAAGATCAGGTTCATATCCTGACCAGGTGTTTAAATTTATGGCTGTCATTTACCAAACTAGATTTGTTCCTTTCCATACATTCCATGGAGAGATAAACAAAGCTCACCAATCCATATCAGAATTTATCTTCAAAAAAATCATACGATGGAAATGACTTCCAGTACCCACATACCTTTCTTACATATTCAGTTTCTTCAATAATGTGAGCGGATGTAGACTCATACAAGGCAGAATTATCTTCTGTCTTACCCATTGGGGGAAACTCCGTGGTCACTGTTACTGTTGCCATTGTGAATTCTGGCTTTTAGAAAAAATAAATCAGCTAAGCAAAACATACTTGTTTGATTATATAGTTCATAAACTTAAAGGAGTTATCACTGTAATCAAATATAGGACAAAAAATTATAAGTCATTGGTAAATAAATAAATAATAATAATATTTATTAAATTAATAAATAAATCAATTTAATATGAAAGCAATATTATCTGAAACTATCATAATTAAAAATTTGAAAACTGAATAACCCCAGAGGGAAAAAATGTGAATATTTTCTTTTATTCAGCATCATCTTCGACTGAAAACATTAAGTGTAGGGTCCATGTCTTATTCATCTTGATGTTCTAGCACATTGTAAGAGCTCAATAAATGTCTGTGGAACTAAAAATACAGTGATGACACTGCTGTATGTGATTTTAATTACAGTCTATAAAGGCTTTTTAAGAAAGAACTATTTGTAATAGCATAAGGTGGGGGGAAAACTCAAATGCCCACACAAAAAGGGCTGATTGATTAAACTGCTGCTATGGAGTCATCTTTAGGATGTATTGTGCAATTAAATGGCCTCATCCAAAACATATCATATTTTCTATAAGAAAGGTTGGAATATGAACAGAGGAAAATCCATCTGTTACAGTTCTGACTCAGAGTTATTTAAATATTCTAGATGGTTATAAAACAAAATTTAAAATTAAAATAAATCATACAAAATAAAAAATGAAGCAAACAAAAATAAATCAATTTAGGGGCATATCAAGTTGGTAGCATAATCACATTTTTTTTCAAGTGATTTAAAATGTATACCAGTGACTACTTATATATTAGGCTATATTTATTCTGAAAACAAAATGAATGGCAAAACAATCTTAAAATATATTATCTAATAATATTGTTAATGGAAACATTGATGTTGTTTTGAAACTATTTGTGTGTATGCATCTTTGTGTTTGTGTATACTTAGGTGTATACTGTAGAATAAAGCCAATAAATAATTGATTTAACATTATTAAGATTCATTTTTAGCACAAGGGAAAAAATAAAAAATATAAAACCAAACTGTTGGGTAAAAAACATACACTCTGATTGGGATTTATGAGTGTACAATAATGGTTTCTTATATGTACATATTATATACATTATATACTATGTATAACCTATATTGCCTCTATCCACTGAAAGTCTAGAAATATAGAAATAGTACCAATTGGCACTTCTTGTGATTAGACTGTTCTCTTTTTATATCATATGCTGCTAAAAAGAAACTAGGACTTTTTCATTGATTCTGGTCACAGGTAAGAAATCTACAAAGTACATGTGAGCTCTTGAATCACACCAGCAATCAAAAACACTGATCAAATACTACTTAAATTAGACACGAAAGCCATCCTGAACAGGAATGACCATGATGGATTGAAAACTATCAAAAATTTTAAATCCCTGAATTTATGATGACAGGTAAAAACCCACCACCACCAACAGCCCTCATCATTCACCTATAGAAATTATCAGGCAACAACTCAAAGGAGACAGACCGCAATTATAATAAAAAGTAGCAAAAAGAGAAGGAAAGGAGGGAAGAAGGGAAGAAGATATAGAAAGAATGAAAAGAAACAATGAGCATTTGTCCTTTTTTTTATTCATATGTGCATACAAGGCTTGGGTCATTTCTCCCCCCTGCCCCTACCCCCTCCCTTACCACCCACTCCGCCCCCTCCCTCTCCTCCCCACCCCCTCAATACCCAGCCGAAACTATTTTGCCCTAATCTCTAATTTTGTTGAAGAGAGAATATAAGCAATAATAGGAAGGAACAAGGGTTTTTGCTAGTTGAGATAAGGATAGCTATACAGGGAGTTGACTCACATTAATTTCCTGTGTGTGTGTGTTACCTTCTAGGTTAATTCTTTTTGTTCTAACCTTTTCTCTAGTTCCTGGTCCCCTTTTCCTATTGGCCTCAGTTGCTTTTAAGGTATCTGCTTTAGTTTCTCTGCATTGAGGGCAACAAATGCTAGCTAATTTTTAGGTGTCTTACCTATCCTCACCCCTCCCTTGTGTGCTCTCGCTTTTATCTTGTGGTCAAAGTCCAATCCCCTTGTTGTGTTTGCCCTTGATCTAATGTCTGCATATGAGGGAGAACATACGATTTTTGGCCTTTTGGGTCAGGCTAACCTCACTCAGTCTTGTCTTTACTTATGAACTGTATTTCATAGTAACCAAACAATTGATAAGGGAAAGTTTTCTATAGAATTCCAGCTAATGATTCAAAAGGATTGATCCACTTAGAAAATCTACCATTTGCAATCCCTTATGAAGTAATGGATCCAAGCAACAATAATCAACCAAAGCTAAAAATGTGAAAGTTTAATAAGTGATGCACTAACCTAAGACCTCATTAATCAATCTTAATGTAACTAAAAACTGCCATGAACTCAGAGTCTTAAGCGACACAAGACTAAATGCAAGATATAAATCTTGTTTGGATCTTGCCTTAAACAAAACAGTTATAAAAAGACTTTTATTAGACTGCTGGGAAAAGTTGATAGTAAAGAATTCTTGTGGGCTACAGATGTGGATCAAGTGGTGGTAGGCATGCTTACCCAATAAGTTCAAACCCAGTACCACCACCAAAAAAAAAAAAAAAAGCATCCTTGTAATTTCTCTGCAATAATCGAATTATGACATTCTTTTAGAAAATCTTATCTATTAATAACATTTGGAGTTACTTCAAAATACTAAGGTGGAAAAACTAGAGTTGAGATAAAGATAAAAAGTTTAGCAAAATATAGGTAATTGTTGAAGCTGGACAGGAAGCACATACTGTTCATTTTGTTCTATTTGAAATTTTTATAATAGATAAATAAACCATAATTAAAAAAACATGTAAACAAAGATTATTAAAGCCATTTTACTGAAAAGGAAGCTAAGACTACCATAGTGATGTTAACTTACCCAAGATCAGAGTAAAATTAACAGAGCCCAGACTCAAACCTTCATCCTTTTGACACCAAGTTCAACAGCATTTCCATCCCACTAAGGCCAATTTTCCTAGAGAGAACCAACAACAACAACATTTAAAATCTAGCAATGACATATGCAGCTTAAGGCACAGCGAATTTTTACATTGGCCAGCATCACTTTGAAATCAGCCTCCAGGGTTTCCACAAAGTCCTGCACTTATCTTTTAATCTTCAATGAAATTGACAGAGCATGCCAAGAATTTTCCATTCTATTATAAATCCTCTCCCACAGAAGTTACGGCTTCTATTTGTTTCAGCTAACATTGACTTGGCAGCAATGACTCTCAAAATCTGCTTGTGTAGAACGAAAGTGGAAATACTGCTCTCCCTCAGTTTTCTGAAATCTCTGCCAGGATTGAGAACTTGGACCAAAACATTTAAATGTTCAAAGCAAAAGAAACACCCCTTCTTACATTTTTGAATGTTTCAGGAAAATCAAAATAATAACAAACCATGACAAGTGAAAAGCATATATAAAGTTCAAATTTAGAGTCCATCTATTAAGTTTTACTGTAGCACAACCATGGTCATTGGTTTGCATATGCTCTCTGCTTCTTCGGCTCTACACCACACAGTCGAGCTGTAATACAAAGAGAATATGGCAAGCAAAGTCTGAAATTTTTACTATCTGGTGCTTTCCAGGAAAGCACACCTGGGTTGGGGAATGGCAGGAAGTGGGAGGAGAGGTAGTCTGAAATTAGAGGCAAGTAAAGCAATCGATCTGGCTTGGGTTGAGTTTTTTCTCCAGTTCAATCCTGTTTTATCTACAATCTCATATAAAGGATTTCCTGGTTTGTTTGGGTTTTTTTTTTTTTTTTGCATGTTATGCATTGTGTACATTTGCAAATGAGAAGAGGCATTTGTGACAGAAATGAATGAATCTCCAGAAAAGACCCACTCTACTCTCACATTCACAAACAATAACATTGAGCCTCATGTCAGACATTCTAAAATAGACCTTCCTCTCTGTTTTTTTGTGCGTGTGTATTTTTTATTCTTAATATAAAAAGTTCTGATCTTTAATCTCTGATAAGGGATTCTCAATTTTTTTCTCAAAAACCTGGCCCTTTCCCCTCTCCAGATAAATAAGTTACACAGAATCTAAGCCTTGACTTACATATTTGTTGAGACAAGGGTGAAAACACTAGAGTTGTGAAAATGCCTGGCTGCAGAAGCACCATAAATATCAGTATTATTGCTCCTCTTATTTTATATTCTTAATAACCATAAAAATCAAGCAGCCCACAACAGAAGAGGTAGGTCAGGACTATCTGGTTGCAAAGTATAACATCCAGCTGTATCCCTGTGAAACTCAATTTCTCTCTTTGGTTCAGAAAACTTTTGTGCCCACAGTTCCTGATTTGTAGGAAGAAACCCAAGGGGAACATAACCCAGCAAAGTCCAAATTGCCATATGGCGTTACCATCCTGGGGAAAATCCACGTTAGCATTTTATTTCAGCCAGAAGTAGATTAGGCAGACAAAATTTTCAAAATAAAACACAATCAGTTAATTAAAGTGAGGACAGACTTTATTTGTTTTATGCTAGAATGGATTGAAGACAGCTTATAGGTGGTACCGTGCCAAGAGAAGGTATTTCCTAGGCTGGGGTTTTTCAAGCAGGGCTCTGTCCCCTTAACTTCAGCCAAAGCAGCTCTGCTTTGTTCTGTCACACACTGGATCTTTTTACAGCTAAAGGATTTAGAGAACTTGCTTAGTTTCATGGCTTTGTTCTACCACCCAGTAATTGCTACGTTGGGTAAGTTCCTTAACCTCTCTGGGCCTCAGTTACATTAAGGAAAAAATTAGATAAGATTAATTATTAACAATAGTCATCAACATGGGGTTGTTAGTGAGTTAATATTTGTCAAGCATTTGGCACATATAATATATAATAGATGATTATCAAGTGAGTAAATAAAATATGAGTCCATCATCCATAATTAAGGTTGACAAGCAATCTGAGTGGTTTTAGGGAAGTACCAGGTAATATTTTTTAA